AACAGTGATTTTTCAGCAAAGAAACTGGGAAAATGCCAACTCTGCATCTTGATATGCAAATACTGAGATGGGGTTCTGACTTATTAACCCCAATCATACGTCCTCTTGCCTCTCTTTCACCCTAACACTTCACTTTCAAGTTAGTTAAGACATTAGTCCAGCTAAGAACTACCTCATACATGACAGCTTTCTAAAGCATTTTCTGACAAAGTGAATCCTAGCTCAGTGGACCAATTGAATTGATTCAGTAAGAGAGAAGCCTGAAGGGACCTATTAGAATAGTATGGGATAGATGTTGATGATTTTGTCCTTCTTATAAAACAGTTTCCAAATCAAATGCTTAATTTTTTTTTTTAATTACCTAGTTGGTACTATCAAAGTATTCTCCATCATCACCAAGTGTGATAATCCAAATGCGGGACACATTGTTCCTGGACAAATAATGGCTTTTTTTCTTTACAAAATAGATTTGAACTCTCAGGTGTCTTCTACCAAATGTGAATCATAGAGGTTAGAGTTGGGGTGTGCTGCAAGATTTGAGTACTGATGCCAGATGCAAAGAGCATAAAAGGTGGTTTGCTTTGTGCTGTGCCAGGCACTGTATATTTTGACAAGCAGCAAAGGATGCACAAATATCTTTGTGGCTTATAGCCTCACATCTGTGGAGCCATAGTTTCCCTGACAGAAGGGAGTTAGGCTTCTACTGTATCTGACTTGCCTCTGGCTTGAAATAGGTCATCATCTTTATTACATTGCAAGGGAGTGCTTGTTTGCAAAATTAATGCACAGTTATCCACAATAGGCAGATACAAGTTGATATATTCCAGTATATCTGGAATATTTCCAGTCTGCTGGCTGCCTGTGTCCATGTTAGCCTGCGTCAGCTTCCTTGTGTCAGCAGCACTAAAAGGAGAATCAAATCTAATCTCTTGTGATGGAGAATAACCTTAACCTAATGCTACAAGATAAGACAGAAAAATTTATTTGAGGCTTTTTTTGGAAAAATGATATGGTTATCCGAGCTGTAAAGGATTCATTGCTTTTTTGTGGAACTACAATGAAACAACATGTCTCAAATAACTATGTTGCTTCCTCAAATTTATTTGAGGCTTTTTTTGGAAAAATGATATGGTTATCCGAGCTGTAAAGGATTCATTGCTTTTTTTGTGGAACTACAATGAAACAGCATGTCTCAAATAACTATGCTGCTTCCTCTGGACTTGCATGTGGAGAGTACTAGGTGCGTTGCAGATTTACTTCAGCATACACTAAAATTTCTAGCAACTGTCTCTTAGGCTGGCATTAATTTTTGTATTTCTGTGAGATACTTGGAAATTGTGGTTTTATGGTTTCCTACAGGTGTGAAGTTTCGTAAGTGGAGTGGAATGCTCATAAGAGTAACAAAAAATAGGTCTGTTCGTTCTTAATGACGAGCAGGCTGCTGCAGTTCTCTTACTTCTAGAGAAAGTGTGAAAAAAGCGTGGATAAAGGGATTACTGTGAGATCTCGATGAAGGAATGGTATTAATGTGTACGGGCTTAGCTTGAAAAACTTGGTTTTATTCTGTTGTCTAGGAACAAGCTCTTTGGTCCAGAACTGATTGCTAAAAGGATTCTATATTCATGCTTTTGCTGCCTCTGTTGTTAGCTGGTTCTTTGTTGCTGTCCTGGAATGTATGTGCGTATGGGGAATGAGACACTTATTAAATCCTAGGCAATTTTTGTACACTTAGGTTGTATTTGGACAGTTGAAAGAAACCCGTATGTCTGTGAGTGCTACAGAACTCAAGAGATTTAATTCTTAAGAAACTAGTGTTTCAGATTTTTTCACAGAGATGATGGGAATGTGTCTCGGCTCAAAATCTGTTAGGCTGGGCAGGTGCACAGGATGCAAACTTAGCTGAGAGGACTTCCCTGAACAAGCAAGTTTGAGAGGAGAAAAGACAGGCTGAAGTTGCTGGCTCTGTAAGTGCAACAAATACGGTGTATTTTTTGTGAGGTGGAAGCTGTGGGGTACTGTTGTGTCTAGAAGCAGACGTTTTCGAATTGCATGAGGTCACTAGGAGAGAGTACCAGTGTGGAAATTCCAGTTAGGAAAAGGCTTGAGTTCCTTTGCTTGCATTGAAGTAGTCATAGCCCCTGCATAGTAGGATGCAATATACTTGCATATGGGTTGATTCTCAAGGAGCTATCTAGTTAAGGGATGCTCTGGACCCCCAAAAAACTGTGCATAAGCATATTCACTAATACGGAAGCCAGAAGGTAAGTTTCCTCTAAGTAGAAATAAATAGAAGTTGCCACTTAAAGGGAAATTGTGAAGCTTGGGAATTTGCCGTGGCATATGTGTTCTTGAGCCTACTTGATTAGGGATATTATTGTGCGAGTCAATGCTAGATTTGTGAAAGTTTTTTCAGCTTGTCAGAAGACTTTTGATGAATGTGGCACACGAAATAGTTTTTCCATTTCTGTGAGCAACAAGTAATGATTTGTTGCTATGGTTGACTTTGATAAATTTCCTTCTATCTTCAGCATACTTTTAACTATGTGAATAGCCTTTCTAAGGGGATAGAAATCCATATTAAGTTTGTCTGTAAAATTCACTTGTGGAAGGCTCTTGGTTTAGTTCAGAGATGTATAGTAGGTAATTCAGGGCACCATTTTCAGCTCCTCTGAGCAATGCTGTCTTCCACTAGACTTTAACTTCACCTTCTTCAGGTGAAGACATTTTTGCCATAGCCTGGCAGTTGGCAGTAAGTTTCAAATTTTTTTTTTCCTTCAGTCACTCAGTTTTTGCTCTTGTCATGATATTAACTTAGCAGGAAGATTTCTGCCCTCATTAGAGGCTGTTCGATTCTCTTGTCGTCATCTCCTAAATAACCTGCTTCTGTTATGCATATTGCTGTTGCTCAGTTATGTTTGTTAGTCTGTATCTTTACTGTAAAAGAGGAGAGAAGCAAGGTTGTGGTAATGGCACAAAATAGAACATAACATATGAGCAAGGAAGTTATTAATTATCAACCTTCAAATCCCTGCTTGAGCAGGGGTTGGACCAGATGACCTCCAAAGGTCCCTTCCAGCCTCCACCCTTCTGTGATTTTGGGTTACTTTGTCAGTGAAGCATCTTCCCTCCCCACCTCCCTTGTTGCCAGGCATTTAAGTATAGTAAATTGTTGATACTGGTTGTGGTACAATACATGTTGAGGAAAGTGTTTGTTTTTTTTTTTGGTGGGTAAAACTTCCAGAATGACCAAATAATAGCAGTCGTGTCGAATACTAAAGAAACCTGTTTCTGAAGGTAATCCTGAGACCATTCCTTAGTTTGCCAAGAATTTTCTGTGTACACACACAGGTTAACAGCATATTACCAGTTATACAGTAACTAAACATCCTAAACTCTTATATTGAACAGGTTAATTGAAAGAACATTAATTCAAGAGTGTTCTTTTCACCAACCATACAACTAGCCCTTTGCCATTTTGGGGAAAAACTAGCAAAATACAAAAATCCTTCTCTCTGCTGGTCGGCAGTCCTAGCTTCATCGTGATAAATTGATTGCAAGTTCAGACGCAAGCTGACTTCCACAAGGGAATTTACATACAGAATACTTGAATAGCACGTGCTGTCTGGTGTCCCCTCACTCCTCTTACTCTTTGTAGCTTGGGTTGCTTGTTCCTGAGTAAACTGTTTTTGCTTGACTGTAGCTTCTTGATGAAATCTTTGTTCTGGTATCAGTTCTAAAACTTGGGCTAGAAGTGAATCAATTATTAGTTTACTTTAGAAAATTACTGGCAAATAACTGATGTCTAGAATTAGAAGAGGTAAATAAGGTGGTGTGCAAAACGTGAGTTCTGCATTTTAGAGTTTGTTTCTTTGTGAACATTTCAAGTTGGGTTGTAAAACTTGTTTTGATCCAACTTGGATTGGATCCTATTATTAGTGCCTGCTTTAGAATATGAAGTTATTTGCAAGAGGTAGGCTGTTGCAGTTTGTAAATCCAGACCTAGTCTTGAGGCTGCATATATTACAATCTGTGAAACAGAGTTAAACTGAAAAAGGTAGCAGGAATCTTTAAAATCCCTTTGGAAGAAGCACTGTGTATATTATCTCAATTTCTTCTATCCTGGGTCTAATAACTCTGATGTAATCATTTTTTCCTGATAAATAGTCTGAATAACAGTACCTACGAAGAAGAGATTCTCCTCTTTTCCTCTCTCTTTCCCCACTGCAAATTTCTGACTTTGGTTGGTCTGAAATAGCTTCTTAAACAAGTATAGCATTATTGCTTTAAATGTTTGGGTTTGTGCTTCGCTGCCTTTTTAGGTATAAATTAGGATTCTTAATACCGTTCCCCTATAGTAGTCTCCAAGACCTAAAATTAACTCTTTCAAGATGTTGTGAAGAATAAGTGACAACCTGAGTTGTTCCATAGTACAGTGCTGTAAGTTTTCTCTGTGTACTAGAAGTAAATGTCTTTTTCAGATCATGTCCAAGGTCTGTAAGAAAAGTTGCAGGGTAGACAGTATAGAAGTCAGGGTATAGAAGGTGCTCTTTAAGATCAAGATGTCCTAGTCCCATGCAAATAGAACAGTAGGTCTAGATTTTGTGAATGTTGTTTACACAGATTAGTTAAGGTTTGACAGAAGAACTCCTTCACTAAACTCTGTACTACTGTAGAAATTGGGTTGCCAAGTCTTGCAAGGAAAATACTTAATATGGTTTTGATAAACATGAAAAATAAACCATTTGTAAAAGTTGTTTATTCAATGGTTCCTGAATTTTAAAACCAAATTTAATTTTTCTCTGTTTATCTCAGAAGTAAGCTGTGTCTTACTGACAGTGGATGAATGGGATAGCTTTGTGCACTCATTTACTGATAATTAAAATACTTTTATTACGGACTTCTGTTATTAAATATGATTAACATGTAACTTGTTTGTTTAGGACAGATTCTCTAGGCTCCTTTTGATTACTAAAATTTTTAATTTTCTGTTTTAGGTGTGGAATATCAAACAGATGATTAAATTAACACAAGAACATATAGAGGCACTGCTAGACAAATTTGGAGGGGAGCATAACCCACCATCGATATATTTAGAGGTAAGTTTACATTCAAATGAATGTGGTTAGATTAATGATGTGTTATCTTAATCTTATATGAAGCATCTTATGTTAAAACTGAGAATATCTGTAGCAAAAGAGAATATTTTTCTTGTGTATTAGAAATTTAACAGTTTCCCTGGAGAGGGAAAGGAACTGTATGGGATTCCTGATACGCATCAGTAGGAGAAGATCAGTGGCATGGCCTAATAGTTATATGGGTGCAACTGAAATGTAAAGCATCCTTTTTAGGTGCGGGGGAGGAGGGGGGAGATTGTGTGTCTATAATAAAGGCATGCTGTGTTGTTAAAAGCAAATATATACACGAAAACATAAGACTAGCACTTCTTTTAAGGCAGTTGACTTCACTTTTTTCTCTTTGAAAATAATCATGTAGAATCAAAAAAATGGTATTAGCAGAAGGGGACTTCTTAAAGAAATACATACAATTGTAGGGTGGGGTAATATTTTTAAGCTGTGTTTAATTTGTAAACTAACTAAGAATTAAATTTCTGTATTCTTTCATCACTCCAGATTCATAAAGTTGCATTGACGTAGGACCACTAAGAGCGTAAAAAAGTACTGCATGCATAAGTTCCATGTGTTAGGAATTGCATGAGTATCACTTGCTCCAAACCCTGCCCTTTTCTTGGTTCTCTCAAGTATTGAAATAACTGGAGGTCAACCAGATTTCTTTTGTACTCTTTTTAATTGTAATTGCTGCCTAAAGGCACTGGGTAATTAAAAATAAAGATCTTGTTATTTGAGGTACTTCTAGCTTTCATCTTAATATGTCAGAGCAGGGCACTAGCTTATTTACACAAATGTTGATATAATGTGCTTAACAGTTATGGTCAAATGAGGCCTTCTGTAGTTGCTTTACTTATTGCTAATGTACAATGGGAGTATGGAATGCATGCTAACCACTATTTTAATCAATCAATGGTATATAAATACACCCCTGTTTTCACATGAAACGGTTCATTCCATATGTCTGGACTTAATATTGCCACATGTATGTTGGTTTCATTGGATTGTGCATCAAATTGCAATAATAATGAGCTTAATCTGTTCTAAGTCTGGATTTGAGGTAGTGAAATCCTTAGGTCATTATAGCCATTTGTCACTTGCTTGTATCTAAATTAAAACTCAGATCCCTGCGCTGGAAGCTTTTAGATTATTCTGTAGCTCATTGGTAGGGAAGAGGGCATTTACAGTTGTAAATGTGTACTAGGAAATTATTACTATAGTGTAAAGAGTGTGCTAAGTCTGAAATAGTTGGTGACTACAAACCATGAAGCTTAAAGTAGATTTGCAAGTTTGATGGTTCCATGTGCCAGATGAAACTCTGGCTCATCAACATGGTGGGGAAGACCTGCAAGGTGGAGCAGGGTGTTTCTCTGCTGTGCTGAGGTCTGCCGGATCATGAAACCGGTCTTGTGATGAGTAGTGCAGGTACTGACTAGGGAGCAGTAAGCCATCGGGAGGAAGGTGGCAGTGACTGGGATTCTGCTTTTTCAGTTGATTCATCCCATGAGACAGCGAGTCCTGTGAAAAGAGCTCACCATCATTGAAATGAAAAGCCCTGCTTTTCCCAGCGTTTTGCTCTGTGGTTCCTCCACTACCTATCAGGTACTTCCAGTACCAGTAGTGGCTAAGCCGCTTCCAATCATTAACCTGGAATGAAAATATTCTGGTTTTGCTGGATTAGTTTGCCATCCAGTTACTAGATTGAACTTGGTCATGATGAAGTTTAGTGACCCCCAAAGCTGTGATTAAGGTTGGAGAAGGGGAAGAACTTGCAGCTGTGAGCCAAGAACCTAGAAAATGGGGTGAGAGAGGAGAGGAACTCTCTGTTTGGATGGTCATTGGTTTAGGTTAGATCATCCTCAGATGGATTGATTGAAGTGAATAGGATTAAATGCTGCAAACCTGTCGTTCTAAACGAATGTGTGTAGATTTCCTGTGGTAGAACGAAAGTGTGTAGATTTCCTGTGGTAGAACGAAAGTGTGAGGGAAAGAAAAAGAAATGTATTGGAGAGAACCTGATACAGTCAGAAACAAGATTACTGCCTACCCTTGACTGTTCGGTTCAGCCCAGCAGCAGTTGTCTGGTGCCTCCTTTTTGTGCATTTCCCACCTTTTTGGCTGCTTTTGGCTTGGTCAGGAACATGGGTTGCTTTCTGTTGTCAGAATTTGCTTTGCAGCAGTTTAATCTGTCACTACTAGAGCTAGTGTTTTGACTTTCTGTATTGCTCCACCTGTCAGAAAAAGGGACAGAACAATGCTGTCTGCAGCATGAAAGGACAAGGCTCTATGTAAAGAGCTCTGAATGGAGTGTGATAAAGTGTGGAAGAACACGTTTGCTTCTAGGAAATGTGAACTAAGAAAATACAGTAGTTTTGATATGAATAAAAAGGAGAGTATGTAGAATATGTACTTAAGTGGTTCAGTAGGTAACTTGTCTGTCTGACATCTGTTAAAAGTAGCAAGCTCCCTATGTACAAGAGCCGCTGTGCACTATTGGGCCCATTGCTCAGTTCCGTACCTGGACATCATTGCTGACTTCTATGCATGACCCCTCTTTCCCCGCAAGCTTTCGCATCTGGTCTATGTCTAGGTCTTAACGCTATGGTCTGTGTACTATCTCCAAAATGCTTGAACAGGAAGGTAATGTAACGTATGCTCTGTCCATCCTTTTCTGACTTTTATATTTTGATTGTTTTGCTGAAGCCTCATTTCTGGCTGCGAAGTGCAATATTGCCTTGCCTTGCTTTTACCCAGAATCTGTATGGGTAATTTTGCTAGTCTGTTACTTGGACTGCTTCCCTTTGTTTCATTCCACTGCTCTCATCTCTTTGCATCTTCCATAAAATGTGAGCGACTCTTAAGGCCACCTGTGGATTGTGCCTGATGATCACCTCTTGAGTGCTGTCAGCAAGCATGTTGTCTGCTTCTCTTGGCAAAAGTTGGGATTAGCCAAAACTAATTCCTAGATAAGTACCTGCAAATTAACACTTTTACTTTCACCCATATTGCCTGTCACTGTTGTAAACATCTGATTTGTTATTGTAACACTTCTGCAAAACCATGGCTTTTTGTATACCTATGAGAAGCTTGACGGCCATCCATCCATATTCTGGTGTGTAGAGTTGCATTACAATAGGATTTGTTCGGTTCTTTTGTACTCCCGTCTGGCTTTATATCTTTCATTTCTTATGCATCTTACTAACTGCTCGCATTCACAGAACTTGCAGCACCCCTTCTGCTGGCTCCTGGCCTGTGCTAGAGCTGTCTCTGTAGACCTGTCAGGTAAAGTTGTGGTTGAACCTGGTGACAAAATTGCATTTAAATTAAAAGTGGAAAGGAAGGGGTTGGGAAAGCAGAAGCGTGCAAAGGAAAGTTGAAGAATTGAACACAGAATAATGAAGATTGAGCTTTCAAAGGATGCAGTAAAATTATTTGTGCATTGAATATAAAACATACACCTCATTTAAAAATGAAAATGAATTTATGCTTGAGTTACAGTTGCTCAAGAAAATAGAGGCTAACAAGCTTTTGTTTCTGTGCTCATCTGAGAGAGAAGACAAAACCGCTTTTTTGTGTGGCGGACTTTTTTTTTTATTCTGGGGGGTTCAAGATGTTTTACATCAAAAGAACTTTAAAACTGACAGCTATTGTCCCAGCCATCATTTCGGGATTCATCAACTGACTATGAAAGATGAATGGATTTCTTGAACTATCAAAAGTGATTGACACATGTTATGTTGAATTCAGCATATATTTAATTATTCCTGCAAGAGAGGGTACTCTGATTCAAGGGTATCTCCCTGCCTTGATCCATCTCTCAGTGACGGTCTTAAAAAGGTGACTGTAGAGCATGGGGAGCAGGGCCTGCAAGCCTGGGCAGGCTACTTTGTGCACAGCTGCCAAGGAGTGGAAAATGTAGCATGAAACTGGAGGGCAGCAGGTGGCTTGTCTCTCTCATCTCAGGGCAGGAATGTAGAGGCTGAAGAGAGAGACCAAAGCTGCAGAGAGACTTCTGAGTGTCTTATGTCACAGGGGTAGGAAGCAAGATGAACAGAAGAAACAAAAGAATGTTTTTCATTAACCACAAAATTTTCTTCTAATTGTTATAATTAGTAATAGCTTTGGGAATCAATATTCTCTAATATGAATACAAGAAAAACTTTTCTGTTTGTTCCGGCTGGAAGAAATAATGAATGTAGTAAGCAACGGCTGTATTGAAATCTAAAAATGGCTTATAGCTAAAATTCTTTCTTAGGTAATCCTAGTTCTTAACTTCTTCCATCCCCTGTGTGTGAGCATGTTTCTCGGATCTAATAGACTCCTGGAAATCACTGTCAAATATTTGAAGTAACTGTTTGACTCAGTAGATGTAAAAATATCACTAGTAACATTTTTCTTTTCTTCTGGAAAAGAGGCTGCAGGAGATCCTCAGTAGGTTTTACCACACTTTTTGGAAGCACTCTGTATCACAGCAGCTGAAAACATCAACGATTTTTGTCTTCCCACATGATTTCTTGGTACATTATATCTGTCCTTGAAGTGCTGTTTCCCAAAATACAGAGTTTGTGATTCACTGTGGAAAAACCCTTTTCTTAAGGGTTTGTCTAAGCATTGTAAATATGGGAAATCTTTACTGCAAAGAAGTCTAGTATTATGGTACTGGGAAAAACTGGGATTCAGTTAGCAAAAATGGTTAAAATATGCAGTTGTGTTTTCTTCTATAATGGCCACCAAATTTTTTTTTTTTTGTCTCTACCAACAAAGTACTGATGAAAAGGATAACCTAAGTTAGGGAAAGGAGAATAAAAATCTGTGCATTTCAATTTAGCACTGGCAACAAATGCTGTTTACAGACTGAAGTGGGGTTGTACAGATCCAGACTGGCCAAAAGCAGTCAGCTCAAACTTAGAAAGGAGAGATCATGCTTAAATGACTTAATCAGATTTGTTAGCCTTTGTACCCTCTTGATGATCATTCAGGGAGGCCTTACCTATTTAAACTTCCAAAATGCATTGTGTGTCCTTCTTGCCTCGTAGTTATGTGTACGGTGTTATCTACGGACACTTCATCTGTGAGAACTTAATTGAACAGTATTAGCTCATTTGCATATAAATAGTTCTTCGTATGGTGTGAAATTGCATCCTGGACCTGTAGGTTACTTCAGTTAACAAGAGTAAGCTGCCTCCTTTTTTTAATTTGGACTCCACACAAAATAAAACAGTATACAAATGCATAGATAGAATGATAGTGGTATCAAAGTAAGTTTTAAAACTCAAACAGCTTTCTAGTATTGTCCTGAAGGAATCATCCTCCTTCCTACTCCTACTCTTGGAAGAAATTTAAAATGAGAATCATGGGGGCAGAGGTATATTTGTCCTCAACTACTGTGTTCGTTCCCCCTCCGCCCCCGAGCTTTCTCTTTTCCTGGGCTGTTAAATGTATTTTATTCAGAGGCCTTGCTGTTGCTATTTTTGAGGGTTTGGCTGTTGAACTTCAGGAGAGTATTTCATTCCTTATTCCTGTATATCTGAAGAATCCACACAGGAGATCAAATTAATTAATTAAAGAAGATTACCTCCTTGCTGATTTAAAGTATGCTTATTGCAACAGCAGGCAGATACAGTCTGAAATGGATCTTAGTGCTGAATATCAGGTTATTTCAGGCTGTTTGTGGGCTTCCAGGAAAATGCTAACTCTGGGTACAGACACTGGGAAACGTGGTAGTTCTCTGGGGAAGTTCAGATTAATTTTTAACTGGATCCTAACAGATGCTGATCAAGTATGTTGGACCAAAACTGGAATGTCTAAAGTTAGAATAAGTACAGATTTAGGAGTCTTTACTAAATGAAGAAATCCTGACGTACGTTACTGTCTATCTTCAGCTCCAATTTAAGTTAGTGGGATTTGCATTTGATCAACATCTTAAAGGTCAGGTATCTTTTAAATAGAAATACAATCTCTGTTTCAAAGACCACAAAGCTATAGTTTAGGCTTTTAAGAGTCTTGCAATGTGTGGATATTATCTAAAACTGGTTGAGAGAGCATGGTAAAACCAGTTGGTCTGCTTGAGTTCAGACTATGTTTCTAACAAGATGTGGTAAGGGGCAGGCAGAAGGAGAAACCATGTTTTGCTATGTGGTTTTGTGCCAGATTAATTTAAAAAAAAAGAAAAATTAACATGTTGCTTTTTGTTTCCTTAAATGTTACTACTAGAATGTATAGCCTGGCTATGGCTCAAGAAAGCAAATTTCAAATGTAGTGTAAATAATATGTAATACAAAAATATGTCTGTGTTTGAGAAAATCCCATGTCATCATCTTGTCAACAGAACCCTTTTGGCATCTCTGTGTAACATCATGCAAATTCTGTTGACTTCCGAGGTCAGTTTTTATATTGTCAATAGATTGCAACATTTAAGAAGTAACTTTAACTCTGCCACTCCTGAGTGTGCAGCAGTTATATTATGGCATGTGTATACATTTTATATAAACATGTCAACTTCTAATGCTTTAGATGGACTTGGCAGTTTACCAGGCCCTTTTGCATTTTTCTTAGTTGAAGTCTGAGGAGTATTCTCACATGTATGAGACTGTATTATATGTACATATGTACTGTTATGGAATATAATTAAAATTAACTCCCTGTTCGACTTTAGGTAGCCATAGAATTATGTGTAGATGGACAAGATGTGCCATTCTGAATCTAATATTCAGCTTTTCAAATACATATTTTCCTTTAACTTTGTGAAATACTGTGAATTGACACTAAATTGGGAGCCCTGTAGTGACACAGCAAACAAATACATTTGTTGAGGATAATACATGTTATTAAAGACAGTCTGGTTTTAGCAACCAGTAAACAAGCTGGAGGAGTTGAAGAACATAAGCCTCATGACCAGGAGCAGCACAACAACAAAGACAAATGCAGCATCTTGCACCTGGAACGAGGTGGCTGCCCGTCGGCGCAGGCAGGCGGCTGGCTGGGTAGCGGCTCTGCAGGAGAGGTGCCGGGGAGTGCTGATGGGCAAAAAGCTGAGCCGTCAGTAGCCCACCCTCACAGTAACAGCGGCAAACTGCAGACTGGGTTGCGTTAGCCAGCATGAAGAGTGGGACCTACCTACGCACTACATGGGTGGCTGCACTGGGGTGGTGTTTGGGGTGGAGAAGAGAAGTCTAAGGAGGAATCTGCAGGCTTTTGCAACCTAAAGAGAGGGCCAGACTCTACTCAGACATGCACAGCAAAAGAGGAACAGGCAATATCACAGATAGCATCGAGTGAGTTTCATGAGAGAAAATTCTTCATCATGAGGCTGGTTTTTGAGCCCTGGAGCTGGTTGCCCAGAGGTTGTGGAGTCTTCATCTTTCAAGACTTTCAAAACTTGCTTTGGCAAAGCCCTGAGCAACCTGATTGAACTTAAAAATTAGCTCTGCATTAAACAAGTGTTTGGACTAGATAACTTCCACGGATACCTTCCAACCTTTTTTTTTCTCCTATGATTCTGTAACAAGCTGAAAGCAAGATTTAACTTTTCTTGTAGAACATTACTCACTACTTAATGGGAATATGTAAATGGAATGGATTTCATTCTAGATTTCATAAACTTTTCCGTATGAAATGCCTTTAAAATTCTTAATTTAATGAATTGCTTGAATGTTCAGCTTAATCTTTCTCATGGTGTAGATGCTGTACAAACCTAATTTTATTTTTTTTGTTTTTGAAAAACAATGTTAGAAATCAACCTTATAGCTGATGCAGGCGGCCTTGACCGACTTGAAGGTTTGTGTAGCCATTGATGCCTGTCTGCTAATATGGCCGTGCTGCTGCAGGTCTCTGGTAGACAGTCCCACTCTGTGGGATAATCTTTCTTTTAGATGGAAATACTTGGCATAGGACAGCTTTGCTGTTGTAAAACTCTTTCAATTTAACTCCATGGAATAATTCTAGCTTTTGATTTGGTGCTGTTGCTGCGTAAGGTCTATGGGTGCTAGTCATCAGCTGAAACCAATGTCTCACCAAAGTACTTAATCTGTATGAAAATGAGATTTTATTTGAGCTATTTTGTTTTTGCTACATACGCTGTTGCGCCTTCTGTATAAAAAGAATTTATTTGTTTTAAAGAGAAAATTTATTTAAAGTCTACTGGTACATTTCTAGTTCCGTTATGACTTATTACGGGATCTTCTGCTATGACATTGAGTAACAGTATAATACTTGAGAGCTTTTCTCTCCATAAAAAATACAGAGCTTTTCATGCAGAATTTAATAGTATAGAACCCAAAACCAGCAGCAGCTTCCAGCTTTCCATGCTCATTGTTTATTCTCTTCAGATAAATCATTTGACTTTGAGTTTGCATTAATGACAGATTAAGCTGCCAGTGTAAACATTGTAGGATTGAGTATTTTGAAAGATGTGTGTAATTTTGTGAAGGAACTAAACCCACAAGTATCCGGAAGCAATGTAATGTTGCATGTGTTCAAGTAATATTTTGCAATGTTCATGAGAAAAGGAAGTAAGTATTTAGAAAAGTATTGGTGAAATGGTAACAGTTTATGGTTCTTGATTTTTGTTTACTGAAAATAATTCTTGACACATGGAGCTTTTGCTGGAATTTACATTAAAAGTTGATCCTGGAAGTAGGAGAGAGACACTTGTGTTACTGTACAGCCAAAAAATGCCATTATTTATAATTGGGTAACCTTTCAATTTCCTTTTGACAGTAGAATTGGGCTAGAGTGAAAATGTTTGGTTTTAAGTCTCAGAGTTTGGCGTCTATTAGTGAAATGTTATATATCTTCCATTTTTAAAAGACATAGTAAGTAGTTCTCAGTTTCCTGCAATTTATGTCCATTTATTAAAAATGGAGCCTGTAAAACTTAGAATTTGAAATTGTTATGTTCACCACCATTCTTTTAAAATGCTTTTTCTTTCTTAGTTCTCACTGTCAAATTATCCTTCTCTTTGTTAACACTGTGGAGATGATGAAACAAATTTTGAACGTAGGTCCATCTTGGGGGATGCAAAACTTTCATAAGAAGGGAGGGGCCAACCACTATTACTCGACAAAACCAGCCTGGATTAGGTGAACCTGCACATACAACTCTGAGAAATTCATAGTAAAATGTAGTATTCAGCACTACTGAATGCTGGGAAATTTGAATTAGTTTAGAATGCATTTTGTTTCATGTTCATTCTGAATTTAGATTTGTTTTTGTCTGAGGCTGCTACACCATTAAAACAGCTGCTCTTCCTTCACAGGCCTATGAAGAGTACACCAGCAAACTAGATGCTCTACAGCAGAGAGAACAGCAGTTATTGGAATCCATGGGGAATGGAACGGATTTCTCTGTCTCCAGTTCAGCTTCAACAGACACAGTTGCATCATCTTCCTCCTCTAGCCTCTCTGTAGCACCTTCATCCCTTTCGGTTTATCAAAATCCTGCTGATATGTCACGGAATAACCCTAAGTCTCCACAGAAACCTATTGTTAGAGTCTTCCTGCCCAACAAGCAAAGGACTGTGGTGAGTCAGTTTCTATTCACATGCTTCTAACCTCAATATTTCCTGTATCTCTCTCCCTCTGTATGCAAAGGTTAATTTAGGAACTGAAAAAGTACCTTTGTGGAGGACAGAGAGGTGGCATGTTCACTATTTGTGCACTGCCAAATTCAGTTGTTTTGATATTGGATGTTTCCTACAGGGTTAACACACAGTTGTCCATCATAGCAATAATACAGAATATAACACTTCCAGGAGTGTTGTAACAATGAAAATACCTCAAGAAATATTTTTTCACATCAGTTTTCTTGGATAAATAGTAATCTACCATTTTACAATGGTTAGGAAGGGGCTAGAAGCTCTGTTTCTTGTGTTATGCAAAATTATTGACTTGTTTATCAGGGCAAGATTGGGGAAAGTAAGTGTTTTCCATGTTGTCAAAGCACCACTGAATGCTTTAGAGCAAGTACCAGCCTCTTGCAGCTAAGGAGGTCGGTGCAGAGTCTTGGGGGTTTTTTTTTGTTTTCCTCCCCACTCACTATGCTGAGTGTTTCATGTTGGGACCCTGATGCTATCAGGCCCTGTGTAGAGAGCTGGCTAGGGGAGGGACATAGTTGCTATTAGGAGGAGCAAGAAATGTTGCCTGCAAACTGCTCAAAAACTAGTGTTTATCAGTTTTGACAGTGATTCCTGGAGTCATGGAAGAAGAGTTGACTTTCTGCTGGCTATTTAATTGTCCTTTGTAGGTGGGGTTTTTTAATCTGTTAAGAGCCGCCAACTGAAGAGCCTTGATATGTGCTTTAGAATAATACACTGCAAATTGATACATGAAATTACTGACAAGCCATAGTCTAGGGTCTGTTTTGCAAGGTGGTGCATACTCCTCACTTGGAAGAGGAGCTGAGATTCTAGAGAAAGTGGGAAATGAATGAATAGCACAGCCAGTCTCCATATGAAACCAGTGCTTTTCATGGCAATAGGTCACGTATTGGCTGTTACTGGACTGCAACTGCCCATGAAAATTGAGTTGCTGGCAAAGAGGAGAAAACATAAATTGAGCAGTTCTGGGCATTGGGAAGATGTTCTCTCCCTTCTCCTGCTGCTTTCATTCGACCCCTCCCTTGTCCCCACTGAACAAAAGAGTTAATAAGACTTACAGTGGGAACAACAGATCAAAGTGCAATTCTTTTTGCTAGAATTTTTTTATTATTCCTTAATTGTTAAAGATACCACTAAAGTTTGAAAGTAGCATTTGGTTTTCAACCTGGAGAACAGGGTTTTAATGTAAACTACGACCACTGTGCAGATACATAATATTACGCAAGGTGACTTTATTGTCTGCCTGTGAGGAATGGCTAAGCATGTAGTGTGGTCCATGTTGTAAAATTTGGGGAGAAGGTACGGGATTTTGGAGAGACTGGCTGCTTCTTCATGTATTCTTTCCCACTGTCTGGCTATTGTAGCTTCAGTCCCTGTGATGGGGCTGTCCTACAAGTTGTTTTTGTTTCTTTCTTACAGTGGGTCACAGTGTATCTCTTCCTGCATTGTTCTGTGTGTTTCCTTTTCTGTCTCTCCTATGTGTTATCTCATCCTCTTCTCTAAGCCATATAGTGTATTGGTATTCTTAGTCTTTTTTCCTCATCTGTAATATTCCTCTTCTGCTCCTTTTCCTCTCCTCTTTTTCACCTCCTCCTCAGTCCTTTAATCAGAGGTGTGGTAAGGCTTTTCTCAAGTCTGAGCACTGTTTTGCTTTTAAAGGAGTCGTTTCATATCAAGAAGAGTTTATGAAATACACTACATCAAACTTGTAGACAAGCTTGAATTTTTTTGATGTTCAGATGTGTGTATTCACCAAGTTTTAAGTTATTTCTGAATATGCAAACCTGATAAGTTAGGAAAAAGAGGCAAATGAATTTCAGTGTGAACCAGGTGATACAATTTTGGGCCAGTACAGAACTGTCTTGCATCAAGATGTGGTTTTGTGCATGTTGGTGGTCCATTCTAGTCAAAATAAAACAGGTTGTCTTCAACCAGTGCATCTCTAAGTTCTTAAGTAATAGATCAGCTTGGTATGCCTAAAAAGAAGTGTGAGACTGTGCTTTCCTGGACTAGTATTTCTTCTCATTTTTATCCCTAAGCTTTGAGGTTTTTGGTGAATACTGTGGTTCTGTGGTATTGGTCATGCTCAATAGGAGCTTGCAGATTTAACCAGAGAGGTTAAGTTCAGAAATGCCAGCTTGTCTGTTGCCATGTCTTGACTAAAAGTTAACTTTCTGGCCTGAGGACATGCTGTCATTTGGTGAGGGAATTGTAGCACTCAGCAGTAGTACTCAGCGACTGGCAGCAGGGCAATAGGAGTTTTCTCCAGCACTGAGTCTAGGTGCCCTTCCTGGCTATGAGAGGCAAATGTGGTTTAACTTGGGTGTAGTCAGGGAGTGGCTCTTATTCCTGTCCCCAGCTCCCTACTGGAGTCTAAACACCATTTGCTGTACCAGTCTAACCCTATAGTTTTTTTCCAACTTGCTAAATGTGGGACATTAAGCATAGAACTTCAGGAAAATCTTTAGTCTTGTGCTGTAAAAAAAAACCTCAACCTGACAAAAGAGTAGGAGACAGGCTAGTGGTGGTGGAAAGATGCAAGTCCCTTTAGTCTCAAATCTGGTATAAGTGTGTCTGTAGATGCACTTACATAAAGAAACAGACAGATGCCTGCAGATGCAGGGAGGCATGAGCTACACATATGGGATTGCTGGCTGGAAGCTCTGGTTGACAGGATTCAGCTTCATATGCTGTATAGCAAGGTGGAAACTGGCTCCAGTTCTGCTAAGAGACACCCATTTTTGGTTGAAACTGTTATTCTAAATAAGCAGTGGGAAATACATACTCAAGTTTGTTCAGCATATATTGCAAATGGATGGTTCAGCTTTGGCTCAGGGAGAGTGCTGACTTCTTTTTACTTGTTTTACACATTGTTTGCTTCTAGTTACGTTACGAAGTTGAACTTTTTTTTTAATAGACCTAGTACATTATCTCTGTTTTAGAGCTGGGAAATGGTGCTCATAGGAACTCCAAGTGTTGGGGTTATTGGCCTTGGAGCTGAAGTTGATTTCTCTGAAACTTGAAACAGTGCTCATGTTATTGAGAAAGTCGGGAATTTCTTGTATGGCAACTCTTAATGTAGTTACTTTGGTTTTAATATTTATTGATCCTACACATAGTCTGTTGAAAACTTAAGGAAATTCCAGAAGCATACCCAATTCAGTCGGAATTGCAGTATACAGTGCAGTTTTGATGGCAAGTAGTCAGATGATAGACTACTAGCCTAAAAAACACCCAGCAGTTTTCAGTGAACTCTGAGATTACTTGCAGTAGTATACTTTCTTCGTTTCCTTAGCGCGTAGAGAAGTGTTGCATACATCTTAGTCTTCCTTCATAACATCTGGCTTTAAAAACAGACCTGTTGTGTCTCATTTGTGCCCATTAACTGAGCCATTTGCTTATGTAGCCATGACGGTAGTTTAGGGTTTTCAAGTACACAGGATAGCTTCTGATGTGGAGGATTGAAGCAGGAAGAAGATTCCTTGTGAATGGTACCTGCCATTAGGGCCTCTCCCCTGCCCAATACATCCCCATTCCATATGGCTGTTAAAATAAGGATAAAATGTGTTCTACAACCAAGTGTGTAGCTAGGAGGGGAGAGATGCTCTTAAAGTTGCAGCATTGCAACAAGCTTCCCTCCACCCCAACCTTAACTGCCTTCAGTTAATACCTACTTCTGAAAGAAATCTTTTTTTAATATCACAATAATATTTTCAGTCTCTATCTCCAACTACAGACCCACTTCAGAAGGTGAGAAATCTTGTCGGATACTACAGGGTCTTTGTTTATTTTTATCCGGGAATGCAATGACGATTCTTAAACTGACTTAAAGTGACTGGAATTAAGTTGGTAATGGGGAACCAACCTTCTCGTTTATCTTTGATCATGCTCTGAAGCAGTCCAAAGTACTACAACAGCGTTCTACTTGTTTAGAGCTGTTAAAAATGCAGGAAATGGCGGGATGGTCAGGGTGGGGGAGATGCTTACATTTTTGACTAGCAACTGCCTTGTTACTTGACAGTTGTCTACATTTTTTTCTGTTTATTGGTAGTATTGTTTGTGTGTAAGATCAAGCAAATACATCTGAGTAGGCTCCAATTAGAAATACAACGTGAGAAAAGTGATGGAATACAAAGAAATAAGACTACATTGATCAGTGTAAGTTATTTCGGTGCATAGGTAGTGCAGCTGATGTCAAGTTTCTTTTGCACATGTCATGATAAAGCAGAGTGTTAGATAGAAGGTTTTTCCTCATGTAGGAAAAGGTATGAAGGTGCTTCCTTGAAAACCTAGCCAGTAAGTGGGGGAGCCTACCTCTGCTGATCAATTAGCAGTTGAAGTCAGCACCTTGATTCAGCTGGTGACACAGCAGGGTTACAATATAACTGTTTTTGAAAGCAAAACCAAGTTTATTCCTATAATACAGAGAGATAAATATCTGAAATATATACTTCCTCTTTCCTCAGTGGCATGGTTCAACTGGCAAGGTAAATGTCCTTTGGAGAAACATTCTGCATAGATGTGACCAGGATAAGTCTGTGTGGGTTTGTCTTGTTTTGTTCAAGGCCAGAGAAGGATGTTGAAATAATAAAAGTGCAAGATGGTAAAAGTCTACCTGAGATTGTCACTTATTTTGCAGAACAAAGCAGCAAGGCTTATCCAAACTGTGGGTGGGGAGAATGTAGGGAAAAATTAGTTCAAAGTTTGTTTGGGGTAAAGTATCTCGTTTGGGTAAAGTATCTTTTGCATGTCTTTGGGACTGCCAATTTTAAACTGGTAGGCTTGGGATATGGAAAAAAAATCCCCATTCCCAGTTGAAAGGACTGTTGCAATTTTTGCCTTCCTCTGTAAAAGTTGACAACATAGTTAAAATTATTTAGGAATTTCACCTATTAGATTGCTTGGCTACTGTAGACCTTAAGACA